AAAAAAAAAAAAAACTTAAAATCCAAGACATTGAACTTAGAAAAAATTATTCTTACAGATGCATTGATAAATGGGGCTCAAGTTTCCCTACATTGAACTTGCTTCATCAAGTACTTGTTTACACAAATCCAAGACATTTCAACAAAATACGAGATAACAATGTGGATCATTACATAGATCTTAAACATTTTAACAAAATAATTGAACACCAATAAATCATCAAGTACATCTTTAATTTACGCCTCTAATTATCCAAAGTTTGTACTTGTTTCATCGGAGTCTCCTTCTCTACACGAAAGTTTTAAAATCACATATACAGTACGCCGAAGTATTGGGGGATATTCCCAAGCAAAAAAAAACCACAACTTTCAATCTTAATTAAGGCAAGAATTGTCTTTTAAACATAGATAATGTTTGTGAATATTAAAAGAATAAAAAAACATGATTCAGTAGGGGCGAAGAGTATCTCTCAATCCTCACACTTGTGAAGCGCCTACATGGGTTGTCTTGAGTCCGTCCACAACTCCACGTTCTTACACTACGACAAAACAAAGAGCAATAATTTTAGGACTTCATATTCATACGATATTTCAATTTTAGGATCCTTCTAGGTTTTTCTCTCTCCTTCGATTTTCTCCCAATTCTTTCAAAACCCTAGTTTCTGCTGTGCCGCTTCCATGTGCCTCTCCGCCGGCGGGTGCTCTGCACTCCACGACTCTGTCTAACATCTGCGCCGGAGGCGAGCTTCTGACGAGTCATCATTCCTTCTTTGACGTGGCGCCTCGCCTTTATCGGTTAGCCATGGAAGATTTTGAAGGATTCTGGCTCATGGCCAAGTATCATCTTGGTGGGCTCTAGTATTGTCTTACGGAGCGGTCGTTGGTTTGTATGTGGGAAGGGGTTTGGGGCGGGTCTCGAGGTGTAGGTGTGAGCATCGGTTTGGTAAAAAACTGCACCGCACCGGAAAAAACCAGAAACCGAATTTTTAAATTTTTTTTCACCGAACCGTACCGCTATAGAAGGAAAAGCCGAACCGCACCGAACCAAAAATTTCGGTTCGGTGCGGTTCGGTTTTTCGGTTAACCGAAATTAAAAAATATAACCACCAATTAATGTTATGTAAGTAAAATTATAAAAATTAAGGTGATATTTTATTAAAAAATAAAAAAAAGTGACATTTTATGACATTCGATGCGGTTCGGTTAAAACCGAACCGCACCGAAATACTTGCGTTTTTTTCTAAACCCAAACTGTACCGATAACCGAAATTACCAAAAAACGCACCGAACCGCACCGAATAGCTCGGTTCGGTGCAGTTTTTCGGTTTTGGCTCGGTTTTGCTCACCCCTATCCAGGTGTGTTTCGGTGGGTACTATTCTGGGAGGGTTGTGGGTTGATCGGTCCGTGCTTGATTCGCTGATTTCCTTCAATTTCCAAGTGGTCCATCTAGGGTTGTGGCTCAAGTTGTGTTGGTGCAAAGTGACTTTTGTGTCGGCTTGTAGGAGCCTTTTCCAGTGGGGCTGCACGAGGTTTCTCTCCAGTGGGGCTGCACGAGGTTTCTCGGTGGGGGTGCCCTCGGGCCTCGCGACCTAATTTTCGGAGAATCACAGATTGGGGGTGGGTTTTCGCTGGCGGAGGCGGTGCCCAATTCTCTTATTAGGTCTTGCCAGTTCTCAGGCTGCTAGGATGGCGAGGAGGGCAGCTGAATTGCAGTGTTTTCACAGCATTGGGCGAGTCTCTGGCAGTCATTTGGGGTGTGTCGTGACCTTGTTCCTTCTTTTGGGGGAGTTTGGGGTGGAGGTTTCCGCCTGGCCTTGTTCCTTCTTTTGGCTGGAGGGGCTGGCAGGCGAGCTTGGGCCAAGGGCTGTTTTTCTGCGTCTGGGCCCATTCTTGCTAGTTCCTCCAGGGTGGTTTGTGGTACGGATCTCGGGTGTCCGTCTGGACGTGGGTTGGGTCCGTTAGTGGCTGTCCCAACTAGGCATTTTGTTCGGCAGTTTATTGGTTTGAGCTCCTAGGTCGTAGCTTCGTCTGTAGGATTGGATGTCAGTTGGCTTCGTCGGCTTAATGTGGTTGACTGCTACGAGAAGGGGAAGGTTTTTTTTTTTTTTTTTTTTTTTTTTTTTTTTTTTCTAGTTGTGTTTTGGTGTTTTTGCTTGTTGTGTGTTTTTTGTTTCTTAGGTTAGTTGTGTGCTGTTGTTCTGTGTTTAGTCTCCCTTTTGGGAGTTGTGGTATTCTCTTGCTGTGAATTGTGTAATTCTCTAGTTCGGAGTTTTTGTTCGTAGTTTTTAGTTTTAGTGTGTTGTGTTTTGGTTAGTTCTAGGCTGCCAAGGGCTAGTTGCTTATGGAGTTTGTCCTCCCAACAAGGTTCAGCTGAGTATCTGACTTATTAGAAGTCTATCCTTTAAAAAATAAAAATAAAAAATTAGGACTCCCGAATGAACAAAATTAGGGCAAGTTATATGACCAATTTTTCCTCCAAAAAACTGTGATCTGCCATGTCACATAAAAAAATAAATAAAACAATTTTCAACTCAGCAGGCCGGCCAAAATGACCTACTTTTCTCAGTGTCAGGATAAAATATCACGTTTTCTTTTTTTCATTTACGGGATGTTTACCAAAATCGACGAACTTGAAGAACTAAACCTCATTTGGGTTTTAGTTAGAGTGCGAAATCTCTAAATTTTCATCGTTAATACATGGTATATTTGATGTACATTTCACATGTAATATTATGCGTATCACTTATCATTATTGTACATGTTTCAAGAAGGATCTATATCGTGTAATCAATTTGAATCCATACGTGCAATCATGACATTTTAACATTGTGTATCAAAAGGTTGATATTGTGCAAATGGGAAAATGTATGGTGCATATCTATGAACTCATATGATCATTTATGCATAGTGAAAATCTATGAGATCAACTTTCATGGGAGGTGGGTTCCAATTACATGGTGCCGTCAAACAACCTCTCAAACCTTCCCTCCACATTTGGTCTTCTCATTAACAAAATCGAGTTGAAAATTGGACCATTCGACTATCCTCACCGTTTCCTCCCTCATTCCAACACCTCTCTCTTCCTCCGTCACCTCTTCCAACGCGGCACTTCTATATTGCGATTTGGCCTGCCGCTCAGAAATGTTCCGCATGCCACCAACCGCAAATTGATCACCTTGACGACAGTCAAGCACAAACTCCACACACAAATACACACAAACAAAGCGATCCTTCATATTGTGTTAGTATAACTATGTCATAACTCAAATCAGAACCTCTACCATTAAAAGTGGCATGATCTGGACACCCCATGAAATTGACGTAATTGGGACACTTTGAAACCTAGTTCCTGCTCGCGTTCGACCATGGAAGACCTAACAGACCTTCAATTGCTAAAGTCGCAGCTCGCACTCGAGGGTGGCACGGGCTAACGAGCATGTGGGACCTTCTGTCGGCGTCAGCAGCGGTGCCGTCATGCGTGATGCTACATGTGCGTACCTGCTAGAGTACCAAACTATAACTTTACTTTTTTATTTTTCGAGCTCAAACTAGAGTTAATCAAATAACTTTTTAGTAAGTTTATTTTCTAAGCTATTTGAATTCGAAATGAACGAATTAAAACACGAATATTTCCTCAAACAATAAACAAACAAATACGAACATTGCTTAAACCAATGATCTGAAAACTGGACCGGTCATCGAACCGACCAAGCTACTGGATCAATAGTTCACTGGTATGACCAGTGGTTGAATTGGTTGGATCGATATTTTTCTTATCAACATTTTTAAACATATATAATATTCTGTATATCTCATATATAAACTTTGTTAATTACCTTGTTGGGATCGGCTCTAGGCGGTCTGTTCACCTGTTCTCTCTCATTTTATTCAGTTGTTGCTGTTTGTATTCAGCTGATGGCTATTCTTTTGCACATTTGTGCGCATTATATAATATCTCTATCGTTTCAAAAAAAAAAAAAAAATTATATATATTATTATATTTAAATATTTATCTTTTTATTTATATGAAAAATATTTTAAATATATTTAAAAAAACTGGACCGGTTCAAACTGGTCCGACCAGACTATTCGTTGGCAACTGGTTCATTCAACGAACTGGATCAGACTGGTCAAGTGACCCGTGGTCAGTCCAACTGGCCATTCCGATCCAGTTTCCTAAACCATGGTTTGAACATAATCAAACACTAGCTCAAAACATTTATTCGATTACAACACCAAGAGTAAGATCAAGCTTGAAACCGAAAAACATTCATGAAGCAATACTAATCGAAGCAACACTAATTTGTATAAAAAAAACACCAAAAGAAAATATTACTATCACAACAGCAAACAAACAAATCATGCAGAAAACAACCAGAATTTAGCATCACATCTCCTCAATATCACTAAAGTTCACACCCAAATAGACCAAGTCCAGATTCTCCTCGAACATGCCTCCATCTGTAACCCCTAAAACCTCATCAACAACATAAATTGCTTAATGTACACCTTTCACCTCGGTAACCCAGTTCCCTACTAACTCCCCAGCCAGTGGATAGTCCCATAAACAAAGGCCCCTGAGGACAAGGCAAAAACCTTGTTACCGAAACATTCCTCGTTTTCTTCGGACTATAAAATGGTGAGCATTCAAAACGACACAAGGCTCCCGATAAATGTGCCCCCATCTGCAACCTTTTGAACCCCATCAATGACAATGTCCTCCTCTGTCTCATCCTCCCAATTGTAAACAACCAAATCTTCCTCAAGGCTCAACAACAAAACCTCTTCATGCCGAACGAAACACAAAACCTTCATAAGCTCCCACTCATAACCAGCGTTAATACTAAACTTTGCCCAAGACTCGGCCGAACCATACTCTTTCATAACCCAAACATCCGTTGGATCATCATAATGATCCTCCACCATGCAAAGACATCCCCCCAGAACGAAAAGCTTATCAAACACGAACTTATTCACATTAACACCCTTAGGAGGGGGGATTTCATAAAAGACCTCGCGACTCAAATCGAAAGCGGCTATCACGGACGGGTAACCTCGTTCCCTACTACTGGCCAGCCAGTGGAGAGCCCCATTAACAAAGACCCCCGACGATAAATCAGGGACTGCGTGGTCATAAGAGGAATTCTTGGCCCTTTTCCAAACACCCGATTTCACAGAGTAGACATCGACGAATGTGTCTTCACAGTCAGGCTCGTATTCATTGTCCGTGTCGTAATAAGAAAGCGTGACCACCTTATAGTCGTCCCCAACGCGGTCGTACCCCAACCCGTGCATGCTGAAGCTCCCGGGACTCATCAGAGCCAGGGGCGAATCCGGTATTTTTAAACGATCCAGAGTAATCGGGTTCAGTAGCAGCATTTCTGAATCACGCGCTAGCAGGGCCAAGCCGTCGCAGGAGCCCGCGAGCTCGGTCCAAGTATCCGGAAGATCGAGGTATCTTGAAACGGCGCCGTTTGCGATGGTTGCGACGGTGTGGACGGAGCCGAATGGGGAGATGAGGATGAGGGTTTCGTGCTGCTGAGTTGTTGTTCGAGCGATGTGGGATCTGATGAATTGCGGGTGGAAAGGAAGGCCCGCCATTGTTAGGACACACACCGGCACTTGCCGACGGATGTCGCCGGGAGCCGTGAGAAGATGTCGATCAAGATTTCTTGGGGGAGGTCGGAGATAGTAGCCATCAATTCGGACGAAGAAATTTGAATTAATAATAGTTGTTAGTTGAATCAAGCAGGGGTGCGATGAGTGGGAATCTGATAAGAATTGAGGTTTTGAAATTGAGTGGTGGCGACGCGGTCTGGTACAGAACTGGGCGGTTGGTGGGTTGAGGCGGGCTTAACGATGAACAAGGGGGATTATTCACCTTCACGGGTTCCACCAAATTTATCTTGTGAAAATGTTATTTACACCCGCTGCCATAATATATTATTTTTTTAGGGTGAAGGCCATGTTACGGAACTATTCCGTCGGGTTTGTAACCGTTATTCCTGACGGTTACATGATGATCTAATGGTTACAAATCCCGACGGAATGATTCCGGGACCGTAGCATTTTCTATTTCTTTTCTTAATACACCTTAACTTTTTCTTCTTTTTTTTTTTTATCTTAGAAAATGCGAATGAATGAACCGCAAGTGTAGTATATAAATGCATAACTGTCAAACATTCGTTAATAAGTTAATTTTTTCATCCCGCAAATTGTGAACGATTATGCAAATGAACTACATATTTGGGAGTATACTTACACATAAATATTATTTTTCTCAGAACGCGTGAAGGATTATGCAAATAGACTGCATAATTGTCGCTTATTCATCACAAAATTATCACTTATTTATCGCACAATGTATTCGCACATTCTAGATCACGGTGCAAAAACACAATATATCTTATTCTTGCGACCTCAAATAACCATGAGTTGGTGTAGAACACGAAGGGAAGGGCGAGGGTGGTCATTATATTAGCATTCAGTTCATGCTTCCGCAAAGACTATTAAATCTTATGGTTTTACAACTCGTTTTGAGACTTAATTCGTGACAATGTTTATGATATTTGAGTCTTTGAGACCTAAATTTTATGCATGAATTAGTTTATTTCAGCAGCAATCAAGTTAGCAGAGGAGAACAACATTCCCATAAGTACTTAAGTTAGCGAATTAAGATAAATTTCAAAAGAGAAAAACTGTTTCAGTAAAGTTAAAAGAAGTTTGCAGCAAGCTAAGAAAAAGTTTTAGTAAGTTCCCTGAGAAGTTTGAAAGTTAAAATATTATAAAAAAAGTTCGAAATTACTTGTGAAAATTCAGTAATTTTTAAAGTATAAGAAAATGGTGCTTACAAGAATGTATTCTCTTGGTATGATTTTTATTCTAACGGGAGCTCCTCTTTATGAAAAAACTTCTGATGACACAATCGTAATAATACAATTACATCGAGAGAAAAATTATCATTCACATATATAGATATTTCATAACGTTATTTTAGTTTATAGAGCATAGACTAATATCCATTTCCTAACAAGTCGTTAAGCCAGTTTATCGCCAACTTAAATTCTCAAACAGATGCATTACTTTGAATTCCACATAAAAGTTGAAAGTTACATGGCAATTAGCAACAAATGAATAAAAATTACAATACAATTTATACCATAGTTTTCTTTCATATTTGCCTCTCTTAATTCAAACAAAATTAGACATGAAATATGATACAATTTCTTTCGAATCATGAAGTTTTGTTTAGGTACATTACATAAGATATTCTCTGACTATATATCCTTGTTCAGAGAAAATTTGTCAGTTTAAGCTACTGTTCATGAGGTAGCTTCATTTTTCTTTCCTAGATTGCTTGCTCGTGAGTCGAGCAATTCATTTTGTGCAGCCTGTCGCCAAAAGAACGAATACTTAAACGAGACAGAAATAGTTGAAACAGATCATGATTTTAAGTTTTATATTAGTTCTGCCTTAATTGCTATGTAAAAGATCAGTTTTTGCTTAATAGTCCATCCATCACTGATATTCACTGTATTATTCATCCAAAAGTAAACACAAACCTCGAATACTTTGTTTTTGCTTTTGAGCCCATTCATGTAATCTGAAACTCTTTCTTTCTCCTGTTGTAAGCATTCCTCGGCCTGATACAATTTCACAAAACAAAGAGAAAATACGCGAGTCAATATAATCCAAGGAATTTCCAAATCATTTCTTTCCAATCACTATTGTTCTGGTGCCTACAGGGTATGCGTGTGTTTGTAGAAACTTACTATTTTAGAAGTGACAGGAGCCGAACGAAATTTGACTTCCTAATCAAAAGCATGAATTTAACTCTTTGGCAAAACATAAGTGAATGGATTTGGTACAATAAGTTTCATAATTGCTTATTCTTTCTTGTGAGAATCGAATCAGAAGCAGAATCGGCAACATAAGAACCAAGCTTAACTCAAAGAATGAAAACGCCGAAAAAAATGGCTTTTATTTCGAAGCTAGAAAGTGAGTGAGAAAGACTGCTTTAGAAAGTTACAGCCCTGAACACAATCAAAATACAATGACTCGGGACTGACCTTACGCGTGTACTCCTCCTTGGACATGATTGTAGTCCAGTTTAAGGCGCTTCTAGAATAGAAAGCGCTTGTGGCTTCAATTATTGCCTTTTCAATATCTTCTCCATAATTTCTAGATGATCCCTCACTTATTTCTGCATAAATATCGAGTATTTCCTTCATCAAGGCCCGATCAATTCTCTCTCCTTCGCGCTCCTTGTTAATCTGAAATATTTATTTTTGAAATACATTATTGCATGATTCAAATACTTATTCTTTATTTTTAAAATTACACTATTTGAATCATTCAAATACTTACTACTTGAGGTTTGTTATGAGGGTGCGGCTTGTAATAAGCTTCCCCCCCCCCCCCCNNNCCCCCCCTCTTATATGGTGATTAGGCTAAATATGAGGGTAAGTTTTCGCAATAATACCTAATGCAACAACAAACATTTACATCCGGCACTTGCTAAATATGTAACGAATTATAAGAACTTACCATTGATATTATAGCATCGTTAACTTGATCTTTCATTTCACAGTACACCTACAATAAACAATAACAAAAAGCAAACTCCACAACTTAAGAAGCAACACTAACTTATAGCAATGAAAAATATATAAAAAGAATAACGACAACAAACTTATTACCAACCAGACTGTAAAATGCCGAGTCGCTGATTTCTTCAAGTGAAGGTAGCTTTCTGAACGGTATGTAGTATCTCGCGATGAAATGGAAAAACCTCGTTAACCACATTTTCATAATTTTGTGATTCTTCCACCTTCTCTGTAACTCCTTAAGCAGATCGACATTTACTTTTCCCCTCAAAGCAGGCAGTACCTGCCAGCAAACGTGACGCACTGTGTATATTTTACGTGCCACCAGCAAATTAGCTTCTACAAAGTTCTCGTTTATGTACCTTTGAAGAAATGTAGTCCTCGAACGTCTTTCGGTATTGATCGTACATTTTGTCGACCTCGGGACTTAACTTATTCGGGGAACACACATTATATACAGTTCTGGTGGATTGAGAGTTAAAAGGGTGCGTAATATCCCAAATTTCATCTTAAACTATATATGAAAATGGCAAAGTTAACACCAATAAACATACAAAGTAGATTTTTTTTTTCTTTATTTTTTTGGTCAGCAACCAAAACCAGAATTTAGGGCAGAAAATACATAAAAGCGAGAACTTTTCTCATCCCACTTACTTCACACATCAAATGCAAAGAATCCGAGGTTAGAAAAGAAAATCCAAAGTTAACAGCAAGAAACATAAATGCGATGAACCTAGTGTTGTTAAATTAAACGAGTCTGGCTCGGCTAGGCTCGAGCTCGGCTCGTTAAGGCTCGGTTCGGCTCGAGTTTGAAACCTTAACGAGCCGAGCTCGAGCTCATTTAAAGCTCATTTGGTTAACGAGCCGAGCTCGGCTCGGCTTGATAAGGCTCGTTAAGGCTCGAAAAGTGAAATTTATGTAATTTTTTATAGTTCGGCTCGTTAAAGCTCGAGATCGGCTCATTAAGGCTCGAGCTCGAGGCCTTGACGAGCCGAGCTCGAGCTCGAGCTCAAACACTTTAAGCTAGAGCTCCTCGGCTCGTTTACAGCCACCCAAACAGCTTCACGATCACATAGGACAACATAATCAGAGTATAATTAAACATATAAAAGAATCCCACAATTCTGCAAAATGCAATTGATTTTTTTTTTTTTTTTTCAGAGGATACGTATACAAACGCATATACTCTTCAGAAGTGAAGCACTGACGTATGGGCTGTCCCTCGGTTTCGATGCTGTGAATGATCTTGTCAATTCCTTCCCTCTGCAAAATTGGCCACGCCTCATCGAAGGTCAGGAGATTCTTCACGGCGGCGCCACCGTCCATGTCCGGCTCCGGCAGGGCGGCGGGAATTTTAGTATTTGCTGAGATTTGCTGAACCCTGAGAGCTTCGGAGCGTAGTGGTTGTTGTTTCAGTTGTTTCTTGGAAATTTCAGCCCCCTTTTTGATTAAGATTATTTTCCACAGGTCAAACGTTTGTAATAATGTTAGGAATTTGGGAAATTACTCCCCTTTACTCATCCTATGCAAAATATTATTAAATCTACGACATCCCAATTAATTATTGGCGAATTTTTATTTATACTACGTGATATGAAAAATATTATAATTTTACTATGGAGCAAACTTGATTTGCATCTTTACCAATTCCATTCCAATTAATTAAAAATATACACAACTTTATTTGTATCTTTACCAATTCCATGCTAATTAATTATAAATATACATAAAATGATAGAATTTTTCGTTACTGAATTAAGTGTAATCGTCTCTCCCAAATTATGGGATTTTCAGTTACCAAATAAAGTGTTAACCGCCTCCCTCCAAGCACAGCTCGTGGGTTTTTCAGCTCTAAGGTTTTTTTTAATAGGAAGTATATGTTGTGTTTATAGTCAGAATATATTCAGTCTATAACCTGATTTTTTATTTACATAGCATTTTTATCTAACCACAATTGCGATATTTAAATTTTTGTTCAGTATATAACCTATCATATACATATCATAAACTGATCATATCATTATTTTAATAAATTATTTTAGTATATGATAAACAAATAAAGCACGCTCCAGATGATGAACACACGAAGCACGAGTAACAAAAACATATAATGAACAGACACGCAGCATATACTGATGATTGTGTTTACGGGAACAAACACACAAATGAAGCACGAACGTCCAGAAGAGAAACACACGAAGTATAGGCAACGAAAACGTATACTGCCTATACACGCAACATATACTGCAAAAAAAAAAAATAAATCATTTTCTCTCTCCCTTTTATTCATCGTCCCTATAAGCACGCACACCACTGTTTCAGAAATTTTTACCAGCAAAATCACACCAAATCCAAAATCTTTAGGTATTAATTTCATCTTTTGTGCAAAAAAGAAGATTCAACTAAACATGTCGTCCCCCGCCCGCGTGTCCACCATCTCCATCATTACCTGTCAGAAATCGATGTGGAAGCGGACGAAGACGAAGAACTTGGTGAAGCCACGGAGGTTCTCCGGCAGCAGGAAATCGATGATCCACGTGGCTGTTTTGTATGTTTTTGTAGTTATTTTTGTGTGTTATTATGTGTTTTATTTGTGCTCGTTTTATTTTATTTTAGATTTTTCCTGGTCCATTTAGTCGTATTTGCTCATTTTTGTAGTCTCATTTCGTTTTGGTTTCTTGTGCTTTTTATTTCTCTTTTTACCTTTAATTTTGTAGAAAAAGCGTGTTCCGGAAAGTCGACAATAAATTTACCGAAAAATTCCAGAAAGTCAACCGAGACGAGGAGAAAAATATTTGAAGAACATGGGTCAAAATTTCAAGTCAATCGGAGAAGCGTGCGAGAAGTTAGAGCGAATCAAGTTGAGGCCACGTCCAACGCCTGGGATTCGCGCCCGCAAAAATCGTTCCGCGGGCAGCCCAGAACTCGCGAGAGACTTCGCGCCCGTGAATTTTGCCCGCAAAAACGCCAAACTCGCGAGTGTTGCCTTGCCAGCAGAATTTGATCGCGAAAATCCCACCTTAGCTCGCGAGTTCAGCCTACCTTGCGAGTTTTTATCATTAAATGTGTGTTAATTTTAGTGTGTGTGGTGTAGCTATAAATAGACATTGTGCTTTGTAATTTGGAACAACTCCCTCATTTCCCAACTTTTTTGGTTGGGAAATCCTCTCCATTTTCTCTCTTTTCCTTTTATGCTTTGGTTAGGAGCTTTATGACTCGTATTTTCTGGCAAGTTTCCGGTGACATCATTTTAATTCAAGATTCAAACTTTTCCATATGGTGTTCTTCACGCATGCATTAGGAGAGTGGGTAATTAGCTTTAATCCTTATTACTTCGATTTTTGCCCGTTTTTACTTATGATGTATTTCAAGGTGAATTTGTTTTAGCTTGTTGAATGGAGGAATGTTCAATTCTTGTTGTTTGTCGATGTGTGTTAGGGATTATTTTGTGCTTATCTTGTTTAAAGGTTGCGACTTTGTTTAAAGAGTAGTCATTACACTACAAGAATAATCATTTTTAGTGACGATAATTTTTGTCGCTATGTCGTCAGAAAAAATACCGTGGCTAATAATGTTCTAATATTGTCGATATATGTTTGAATGTCGTTGCAATAATACCTCTTATTGTGACGGTATTTTTTGTGACGACATAGCGACAAAAATTATCATCACTAAAACTGATTATTCTTGTAGTGTTAGTAGAAAGCTCGATTTAATCACCTAGGATCACTTGGCTATGTTGATGTCTCTCGGTTCTTTGTGTTATTCGAGTGATAGAGACTCCGGTTGACCTAAAGTTCTCATCTTTGTTTTCGAGTTTTCAATTGTTTTCGATTTCCAATTGTTGAGTAGTGTTTAATCAATCTCCATCAAACGAGTAGAATGTGTAGGACTTTGTTTTCGGATATGTGACTTTGACGACTAGGTAGTGAACGAAGCTCCGAACAACCTTCATTTGAGAACGACCCGAGTCAGGTAGCTCGGTTACCACATGCCCATAAATTACTGCTAAACAGTGGCTCGAATAGAAACGCCGCCTCTAGGGGAATCCTAATTTTTCCCAATTCTCGAACATGAACGGTCGAAGTCGGATAAGTAAATAATGTTGCTTTCGCCACTCTTGCCGGCAGAGGATGGCGTTTTAGAGGTCGACGGCGAGTTGATGAGAGGAAGAAGAAGATGAAGAATAAGAAAGAGAGGAAAATTGACGGGAAAGAAAAAAGAGAAGATATGAGAAAGAGGTTACTACCTTAAATATAGGAATATGATTTTTTGGTAACTGATAGAGTTCCCTAAAATTGTGATTTAGGTATCTTTGCAAATAAAGTTGATCAATTTGATTAATATGCAAATAAAGACATATGGGCTGCTAATCATCTTATAAGTCCAGCCGTGTGCATAAATCTCTTGCACTTGCTAAGAGTACAAAATACCTTCATGTGTTAAAAAAGCTATTTAAGACATTTTAGATGTTTCTAATTGATTATATGCTTGTTTATCTCACCATATTTAAGATATTTAGTGTTTGTAAATCTCTAAAAGACTCCTTCATATTGATTATGTCACATTCAATAAGGCTGCAAATAGACCGAGTAAAGTCAAGTATTGGCTTTACTGATATAGACTTGATTTTTCTTATCGTTGATGGCACTCGAGCTCAATGAGCCAAACATTTTTAGGTTCCGTTTGACTCGATAAAAAAAAAAATGCAAGCTCTCAAGATTGGCACGAATTTTGCTCGAGTTGGGTTTTAATTTTCAATAAAAAATATTTAATTAGGAGTATTAGATAATTGTTTGAGCACTTGTAAACAGCTCGACCTCAACTCAAATATGGATTTTAGGTGTTCAAGTATTGATTCAAGCATTCCTGAGCTGCTTGATTCATTTGTAGCACTCAACTCCATGCAATGTTATTAGAACCCTATAAATTCATGACTCAACCGTATAATACACTATAAGAAATTGTTATATTGTAACAGAAAATCTTATGACAATATATTTCAATAGAAATTTCAACGGGTATTCCAATGTTATAGCTTCGTTGAAATTCCAACAAAAATATTCCGTTGGAATGTGTTTTTCATTGGAATTTAGATGGAATTTAATGATTACAACGGCTATATTTACAACGGCTTTTTACCGCAGGAATTTTCGTTGGAATTTTTATTTCCAACGCCGTTGGAAAGTCTACAGTTTGAATCATCAAAATTCAACGGAAATTCCAATAGGATACTCATTCCAACGGAATATTTTTGTTCGAATTTTTGCTGGAATCCATTGAAAAATTTCTAATGGAAATAATAGCATTGAAATATCCATTAGAATGTCGCTTGGAATAATTCTATTGAAATATATATTTTCGTTGAAATTTCATCATTTTCTTGTTATTAGTTCAAAATAAAGAATTTTAAGAGGCAAAAATGGCTAATCAAAGAAGTTTCCAATAACAGTAGCTAATAATATTGACGAAATCCCAGAAATCGCCTTTACCACCATCGGTTGAATCTTTTCCTCATAGTTTTAGAGGCCCATTCAGAAGCAGAACCTTCCAATAGTGAATACATCCTCACTCAGAATATTCATGGAATATTCAAATTTACTATATTTGGAAGTAGACAAGCAATAAGGAAACTCAGTGGAATTAAATGATGACAAGTCACACAAGCAATAGTAATATTAGCTTAATTTCTCCCGTTACATAGAGTTATTATTCGAATCGAGTTGTTTGAAAGCACAACTCGGTTCAACTCGTCTTATTTCTCGAGATTGTTCATATACTTATATGAATTGAACTCGAGCAGCTAAATGATGATCTTGTTCATTAAACGAGTTGAGTGAAGCTTGCTCGCGGACATTTGTTATATATATAAATATATAGGTTTCGAACAAACAATTCAAGCAAAATATGCTCACAAATGAACAAATCTTGTTAAGGAGCAACTAGCTTACGATTTAGTATTAATCAAACGAGTTGAGTTGAGCTGAGCCGAACCGAGCTTTCATGAGCTCAAATGAGCCGAGTTTGAGAGCCTTAGGCCATGAGCTCATACACCAAGTGCTCGGCTCGGCGCGGATTACACCCTTACCTTTCAATCATCTCTTTCACATGGCAAGCATCATGGTTTTCAAAAAGGTACTCAAGTCCATATTTCTTGCATAACACAATCAATGGCCAAAAAAGAAAAAAAAAAAAAAAAAGTGTTGTGCTTTAGTAAGCAAATTAACAAACCAAGATTCAAGAACCACTCAAGATTGATAATTCTTGCCATAATTAAATTTTACTCAAACAGTAGAAAAGAATGATTGAAGAAGGAAAGATTGACA